ACAGGAGTTTGGAGAAAACTGCATAATGAGGACCTTCATAACTTGTACTCTTCTCCAAGTATAATTAGAATGATCAATTCAAGGAGTATGAGGTGGGCAGGTCATGTAGCACGAATGGGGGAGATGAGGTATGTGTGTAGGATATTGGTGGGAAAGCCAGAAGGAAAGAGACCACCGGGAAGACCAAGGCGTACGTGGGTGGACAATATTACAATGGATCTTAGAGAGAGAGGATGGGATGGTATGGATTGGATAGATCTGACTCAGGATAGGGACCAGTGGAGGGCTCTTTTGAACATGGTAATGAAACTTCGGGTTCCATAAAATGCTGGGAAATTCTTGAGTAGCTGCAGAATTTGCAGCTCCTCCAGAAGGGCTGAGCTCCTTTAGTAAGTAAGTGCAGATCTTATGGTGCTGACCAAAGTGATGATAAACACAAGTTGTAGTAAAGTAAAGCTTATGAAAATGATGAAAAATATGATTACATGTAGATACTAAGGGATTCTGACAATGGTGTACAACACTCAGGATCAGTGGGTTTTGGGGCTTTGTCCATCATCTGGTATTATAAAAAACACAAAAGAACACACTGTTTTGGAATCTGAGGATGGAAACACTCATTTTCTGAAATGTTGTGCTCTTTTTTGTTTTTTAGAATACCATTCAATGGACAAAGTCCAAAAACCTAGTAATAGTAATCCTGAGAAATAGATTTTGCTGGCCATACATTGCATTATTGTGATGACATGTGCAAAGTCTAGATGACCAGGTGTTTTATTTCTTCAGTATTAATGAGTTAACACATTAAGAACCGGCGATTTAAATATTTAAACCACCCTGGGGACCGCCGTTATTAAACCTACTATCCTAATACTTGCACTGATCACTTCAAAAATTAATATAAAATCTCATAATTAATTTTTTGAACTAAAATTTTTGGAGAACACTTACCAATGCTCCTAGAAGTGCTTGAGGGTGTGATATTTCTGGAAACATTCCCCTTTGTGAAGTGGCATTACACAGAACTTGCAAATGTATACATACTCCTTTTTTGTGAACTGTGGAAACACAGCATTGCCTAAAAGGATGCTTCCCCTTGTAATGTTCACTCTTCACAATTTTCACGAGGGTATGTTTCCGCATATCACCCGAGAGTCGCCCTGGGGGGTGCACATGAGGCCTGCATGGGGTGGGAGTTGATGGGCCGGGTTGCACTAAGTCTGTCTGATTCTGGTTCTGCCTCCACCATCTGGTCTGTAGCCCAGGCCTTTGCCACATTCACCAGAAATGCTTTGTATTTCAATTTTGAATCGAGGTTTAGATTTTTGTGTGTGTGTGTTTTTTTTTTTCCTTTTTTTACTGTCCCCGCAATGTTATTACTCCCATTATCGTCGGTGCTACTGTAAATTTTTACTGTCTGTGGCCACAGTTCTTTGTTCTGCCCTGTCACTGCCGCTCTCAATCACCATAACTACTCGTCTCACAAGGCAGGTCACCTGGCTCATCGGAGAAAAATTTGTCCTTGTCCATACCCCACCACTAACTATTGGCTGATACATATAGCTCTAAGAGCAGCAAAGCATTTTTTTATAGTGGCTTAAGAAAACAGCGAGATCAAGTTACTGACAAGTAAGCAAACATTCCAGAGTTTTGTTATGCCAATGCGTGCAACTTGGGTGGCGCCAGAGCAAGGTATAGTGTGTTACAAACAAATGTGTCCTAAATTCATGATATCATGCGACCGGTCCTCAATGTGTTAAAATCCCCGTTCTCTGAAGGTGATACTTAAAGATTAATCACAGCTTTATCAGTTGGTATTTAATATTGTTCATCAGGGTGACTTTAAAACATGTAATTTTTTTGTTCATAGGTCATTCAAGAAACTTGCTAGAATTCCCTGAGTCTAGGGTCTCAGAAGATGGGACTTTCAGCAGTTCCAATCAAGATGATGCAGCCATGTTCATATCTGATATGGCTGAACTTCTGCAGTTCAACAATCCCCTGGTGGGTGACTGTGATTATGAGCCACCAACCAAGCGTTCTTATACAGAAGAAAAACCAAAGGATATCATGTCATCACTGCTGTATGCAGGTATAAACTACATTGTACCACCAGCAGATGAAATCTGGCCACCTCCAGCACCTGAAGATGGTCATATCAGCAACACACTTGAGGGCTACTGGGAGAGATATCTTCTTCTTTAATTACATCTTCCCATGAATCATAACTTAATATCTTATTAAAATCAGCAATTGAAACCTCATTTATTTCCCATATATAGCAATAACTTTTTTTATGTTTTTGTTTAAATATATTATGTATTATTAGGTTCTGGGCATCATGATCAGAAAGACTATTTATGATGCGATATACTGTAGACCCCCTCCTTGGTGTCTCCACCTTATCGTGGTGAGGGGGTTTGAGTATGCCAAGGACCCTGAGAGCTATACCAGCGGTAGCGTAGCTACTGGCAGGGCCTCCCTTGCTGGACAGGTCAAAGGGTAGGCATCAGACGAAGAGAGACACCAAAAACTGATGTCGGAAGCAGCGTCATCAGCAGCGACTTGAAGCACAGAGCAAATGATGCTCGAGATGGTTCAAGTTCGTATAGCAACAGGCGTGACCAGAGTGGAAAGCAAATGGAAAAACTACCACATTATCACTTTTCCTGGATAGTCTCTTTCCAAAAACAGAAGATCGCATTAAGTGGAGAAACTGTTTTGAAAGAGACTGTGGACCTGTCGCCTGACAGATTACTGATGATGATGATGATGATACTGTAAAATTTGTAAACTTGTGTGTATTGATAAAAATATTATCAATTGTAGAATAAGAGTTTTTTTGGAATCTAGTAGGGAATTGGATTATACTATACAGTCCATGAGAGGCTAGTAATGGATCTAGCTGCTGTTTGTGGGGAGAATCATTAAGACATTAAGATAGTTGATGTTTATATCACCACATAATATTATATCTTCAGTGTAGGCAAAAATCATATTCAAAAGTCTGTCAAGGTTTTTAAAAAATGCTTAAAGTTACCAGAAGGAGCTCTATAGATAGCAGTGACACATGTTTCATAAGCAGGGAGGTGCAACCTAACTGCACATACTTCTAAGTCCTTTTCTTTACAATATTTTTCCATATTTATATTAGTAGAATAGATAGTTTCATGTACAAAAATATATGCACCCCCATTCTGAAAGGTGCTCCTACAAAAACTAGCCCCAAGTTTGAAACCCATCATCAAAGATCACAGAGATGGTGCTCGGTTAAGCAAACAATGTGAGAGGAATCCAGAAAAGAAGAGATAGATAATTCGTCGAGCTTACTAATATTAAGTCCTCTAATGTTTTGATGGTAGATAAGTAGATCTTCATTACCTGGTTTTAGGGGCAGTGGTTGCTTTATATGTTTCTTATTCTCCTTTAAACTAGGTTCACTATGATTTAATGTGTACACATTTAAGTGTTCCATAAAAAATCGTTTCTAGATGTTGGTATTTTTCTATTGCATTTAGAAATTTGTCGAGTTGGCAGTTGGGCCGGTAAAGGTTTGGTTTTTATGAGAACATAACATTTGTATTTCCTTGCCTAGCCCATTTAAGTGAGAACCCTGCCTTGTATATAATAGTCTATTATTTATCAATTCTTCTGTAATCATATGACTAAAATTTTTTGCTAGTTTACTCAGTTTGCTGTTAAAAAGTTGAATTGAATTGTTTAAGTGAGAAAGATCTGTAGTGTCATATCTAAGAGGAGCACTTATTAATATCACATTGGTGTGCTTTACATTCTCAATGTAATTTACAGTGTTCCTGAATCCTACTCTTAAGTCATTTCTACTAATGTCATTAGATCCACTACTAATTATTAAGAAGTCATTTCCTGTTAGGTTGCCCACTTCTTCCTTCATTATTTCACTTAATGATTCTATGCAAGATCCTGGATTTATCACACCACACACTTCAACATGAGCATCCAGAGAAGTTATCATCTTCGCTACACAACCTCTCACATGACTATCACCAATTATGAATACTTTATGCTTATTACCTTTAAGATATTTTATGTGTATGGTAAGAAGAAAGGCAATAAATTCTGTCATGTTACTGTACATTTTACACAGACTGGTTGTTGCAAAGAAAAAGACACTAAACAAATATAGAAAAGAGCACCACTTATACAACTTGTGCAATACTGTATCTTGACAAACTCCACGCTCTAAATACTTGGAACACATGCAGTACTCAGAAGCTGAGTTGGACTGTAAAGGGATACATGTTTATATTTTTCAGCATTTCTTCTTAATCTGCTGATCCTCCGAGAGAGTGATCACAACAGCAGAAATACTTTCAACAAAATCTATTGCAACTGCAAGGGTGTATTATTTTCCACAAGTTGACCAAAGTCTTCAAGATAACAATGCATCTTTAATGCTAGAGTGAAGCATTTCCATATGTTATTCTTGAGCTTTAAATCTCCATGTTATACAAACCAATACCCTGATCATGTGACAGGAGTACACTGCACACCTCCCCCATGAAATGTGAAATGGTATCAAAAATTATGAGCTCCTGTTTGTATTTCTTAAGCAAATCCAAGCAGTTTTTGATTTCCTAGTATCTCATTTTTACAGAACATTATGTTGGCTGACTGCAGTAACAAATCTCTTATCTTAAAAACTTTGTTACCAACACATGTCCCTTTGAAATTAGTGCCATAAAGTGCACACATACATACACAGATTTCAAATTCCAGGGCAAACATCTGAAG